AGGGAGGGAGGGAGGAGGTGAATGCAGCAGAGCTCACCCAGGTGGTTCAGCACAGGTGCAGTCTGCCCCCACTAGCCAGCCCACAGCTGACCCTGCAGTGCTCTGCATGGGGCTGAGCCCTGCCTGCTCCCACGCGGGCCAGCCCATACCACACTCCCACCTGCCAGTGGCACCACTCTGGCCCTGGCCAGAGCACACAGCTTCCTGGTGGGGCTGTCTTCCACCCACTCGGCTGCCCACAGGTGGCTGCTCATCATTCAAGACAGGTGGAGTGCGTGGAAGATGTTGGGAGCATGTAACCCACACCACACACTGGGTCAGGAGCCACCCAACTGCAGCTTCTCCCCTGCCCACTGCCTCTTCCCCATGCTACCTGCTGCCCAGAGTGGCACAGCAAGGTCAGGAGAAGGAGGAAGAGGAAGCCAAGCAGTACCTGGGTAGCTGCAGCAGCAGTGGAAGCAGCCCATCTCGAAAGCTGCATGTGCTGGATGGGGCCATTGCAGGGCACAGGGTGGGTGTGGGCTGGAATGCTTCACAGGCTGCCCTGAGCAGGACTTGGTCCCATGCGGAGCACCACAGGTGCAGCTCCAGGCCAGATACAAATCAACTGGCAGGCTGAATTCAGCCCATTGACAGTATTTTGCCTACCCTTGATTTAAACTGGACGTGTGTCTGGTTGGGTTTGACCTATGACAGATCACAACACTCAACTGAGGATCCAGCATGGAGACACACCTGTCACCTATCCAACCAGGCTAGAGGCAGAAGTCTAGAGTCCCTAACTCCAGGACATGTAAAACCATGTGTGCAACTCATCTTCAGGCAGAGGGACCCCAGAATCAGACTGCCACAGCCAGAACTCAGGGTCCCCATTCACTGGGACCTGTAAACACCCTGTGTGCCCCTCAGCTGGGGTTTTGACTGGACTGATTTTCAGGTATGGCTGGGGACTAGACTGCTTTGGTCCCCAGCCTCAGCTGACAAAGGGCACCCAGGTTTCAGCTTCTTGGTAAAAGGCTCCCCTTTTACCAAGAAGATCATGTTGTTGAGTTCTTATTTAACCTTGATTAGCTCAGGAACAAATTTGAGAGAAATTCTAAGGCAGTTGCCTGCAGCAGCTTTCAGCATAGCATGTTTGGGGTGGGGTGGAGCAAGTACAGAGTTCCCCTTGTACTGGTAAACTTAGGCACAATTAGGATCTAATACCCAATTCGAAAAGTGCATGTCATGCTGAATACACATGGCATGGCAGAAGGCGTGATTGTTGGAATCACATATCAGATCCCACCATGCCTTAAAATAAAGATCTGTCAGGTCAAGGGCCTAAGTAACACTCTCTCAACCAAGTTCTACATACCTGATAATCTTGGGAATTTTTGGCCTGAGGATTCAGTCCACTGGGCCTTGTCAAGTCCACTAACAGTTCAGAAACATTACCAATATCCACTTCAGTCAAAGGTGAAGATGCAGGGGCATGAAACAACGTTCGCAGGGTTGGAAGGTAAGCTTCCTCAAAGCATTCCTGATTAGCCCTATTTTAAAAAGGAATAAACAAAAGTAAAATAAATAGAAATAACCAGGCATATTCTAACTTATCCCAAAATTTCCTCTTTTCTAACATGAAAATCCACAACCCCATTACAAAGTGGACCTCTCACCCTTATTCCCTGAAGAAACAGAAACAGTCCAGGCAGACTGTAAGGGCTCATTTTTGCTGCTCCAGTAAAGACAAAGCTAAGTCTTCAGACAGGCTCCAGATACAGAATTTCACTTCTAAGACTGCACCCCCAGAGCCTGTTCCTCTATCGAAAGGGTTGGCTGTTTGGTAGACAGAGAAAGCAATAGGGCCTGGCCAATCCATATTGTTAACAGGGCTCAGTTCACACATGCATTTTTTGTGCCATTTTCTACCAGTTTCAGACAGATTTTCTGCCTGAGATGTTCCTGTCCCACCCCACCCCAAACATGATGCTGGAAGCTGCTGCAGGAAGCAAGGCAGCTGCCTTGGGTTTTCGCTAGCAAGTCTGTTTTTGGAGCAAATCAAGGTTAAATAAGAACCAAACAACAATGAGAATTCACTAAGCAGAGTACTAATAAAAAGAATCCCTTCGTAGTTTTGTTTTCTTATAGCTCCAAGTAGGTGGCCTGATAAAGCCTTTTTGTAGATTCTAGAGAGAGATTAATCCAGATAGGTCTCCAGAAGTGCTGCCACTTCCAGTCTATCCTAGATATGTCTGTATCGGTCTTAAAAGCACTGCAGGCTCAGTAAGACCCAAATGGATCCGTGTACTTCCTTTGCTTAGAATGAAAAATAGTATTTTTAAATCAGCCTATGGGAACCTGAAATCGCAACTGCATGAGCCTTGATAAAATGAATCGTTTAGAGTAAAAATTAAGATACTTAATGAATTGCAGGTGGGACAGTTGAAAGGGTTCTAGGATTTAGACTTACAGAAGAGCAAATTTTAATAGTACTGACTGTTCTTGAATAAGAGACTGCTCCTTCCTCTGATGCGAAGCAGACAATCAAATCAACAAAAAAGGATCCCTAGCAAGAGCCCTCATCTGCAGCAGCTTTAGCAGTATTTCTTCACTCGGATTGACCTCTCCCCCCACCCCGGGAAAATTAATTTCAGGCACACGTGTCTGAGCCAATAGCACTAGTCTCACTTGACAACAGATTCCCGGTTTTGGACATGACTCTTTCTTTGCCTGATTAGTATTTCCAAAGCTCAACTACAGCAATAGAATTTCTTCTAAGTGAAAAATATTTCAACTCTAAGTATTAGCCTTTTTATCATATGTATGTTTCAGAGCCAGGAGAGATTTACTTAGGGAATTTATGATTACAGGAGGAGTCAGAAAGAAAAAAAGTATTAGTTGGTAAGTTTTTATTTTCTGAATGGCAGGCATCCTCTTTCACAGCTGATGCTCTTCTAGCCCAAGAAGCTAGACAAGCATGTAGAATTGAACCCAATCAGTTCAGAAAATCAGTTCAACTAAATAGGCTTTGTACTGGGAGTTCCTAATCAACCTAGTTCTGAAGTATTTGGATGCTTTCATACTCAGATATTGAGAGAATTATTAAACATGGTTTTTCCCACCAATTTGGCCTATTCTAAAATTATGGAAGTGTTGTTTCCTTGCTTTTCTCCTATAGCTTCTCTTTTGTCATTCTCTTCCATGCTTTTTGAGTAAAAATAGGGAAGATTACCCATGAGGCATGAAAAGGAGTTGGAATCTGTTACCAATGACTCAGGGGTACACACAAAAAAAAATAAAATCACAAGCTTGACTTGGTGGTACATGCAGTGAAGTATGTATTCAAGGAAATGTTCCTGAATGTTACTGCAACCAGGAAAGGTCTTGATACAGCCATGGTCACAGTCCATTATTCTACATTTAGAGACTGCAAGCAGAGCAGAGAAACTAGTTTTTCTTCATTACTAAAGTTCATAGAAATGGAGTGTGGGGGTGGGGTGGGAAGAGAAATCAAAAGGTCAATTAAAAGCTAGCTCAACTATTTTTATTAGCAATGCGTAGGCCACAGAAATATTACTCAACTTCCTATTGAAAATAATGGAATTATATCATTAAACAGTTCTGACTCTTATACTAAAAACAAGAACAAACTTACAAAGCAAAAATATGCCTTTGAGGACAGATAGCCTTTTTTTTTTTTTTTTTTTTTTGGGGGGGGACAGAAAAAAAAGGAAGACTTTAAAGCTGCCAGTTTACTTTTTTATCTTATTTTCTCAACTTCACATCTCCACACCTAAAACTACATCAGCAATTCTGCTGCTAGTTCAGCCCTTTAAAGATGAATCTACCTACCTATCTGCATAACTGCTGAGCACTGTGCTCAGCGTTTCTTTTTGAAGTTCCACTGCAAATTCTCTAGTGATACTTCAGTCTGGCTGTGGTGTACAACAGCATAAATACAGTAAAAAATGGTCCTTCTTAAAAATTAACATTTCATTAAAAAAGAGTCAAAGAAGTTGAATCTAAACTGCCATTGCACTTTCTTAGGGAGTTGGTTTAGGGACCTAAATTTTAACC